CCGACGCTGCCTAAGCGATCAAAAAAAGCTGTTAACGATGAGAATGAACGGATCGATTAATGTGTTTCGAAGCTCTACTGAAGGAGTGTTCTGTCGAGTGGACGCAATGCGGGGTCATCATTGATATGTGAGGTTGGGGAGACGGGCTATGTGACGATGACAGTTCAAGCCGTCGCGTCTGCGGCTGACTAACGGACTCAACGTCATCCCGAATCCTCTCACCTTTCACGAAGGACCGTTGCGAATTGACGTTAACCAAAAGATCGAGTCACGAATGGCGTTTTAAGGGGTTGGCATGCGTCGTCTTTTTGCTTTATTCAACCAATGTTTTCACACGCCACGTCAGATTGGGCGTCACCATCGCAAGGGCATGGGACAAGATACGTAACTCGAGAAGACATCTTCCCAAAAGGGGACTACTAAGTAGCAAACCCTAGCACCATAGATACTCAAACGAAAAAACAATGATACCATATCTCAAGTCTGCAGAATGAATCCCATGACATATGCAGGCAACTCTGTAGAGCTTACACTTGGTGATGTTTCCAACATGTGGCGCTTGTATCTATCTAGCCCCTTTCCAAGCCTTTCTTGACTTCAGCTTGACTATAGCCCCACTACGTAGCCAGGGCCTACAACTTGTCATGTCACTGCTGGCTCTAAATTGACAAGATATTCAGCAAAGTCCAGTCCAGTCCATCAACCATTGCTGTTCTCCGTCTGAGATACCAGAGGGTTTCAAGGGCATTTGCTGCCTTTCAGGCCTCAGCCAAAACTAAAACTCCTTCAATGACAAGACAAACTATGTGCTAAGCTACACATCGTGACTTGATAAAGACTTTTCTGGATCAGTCACTTGGCTTCTGGAAGCTGCCTTGAAACGTCGATCGGCTCGGTATGCTTGTTCAGATGCAGTGCCGAGGCAACTCTTGGCCATGTCTAGCGATAGACGTTGCCTGTGGAGATTTGGAGCAATGTAGGCACGGACAACAATGACTCTTGAGAGAGTATCCGATATATCACAGCCATCGCGTTGGTATGTCGGTATTGAGCGCTTTGTCGGCTTGCCAACGATTCCATGAGTGACAACTCCGGCTAGAAGTGCTCCTGAAGATTCTGAGCTGGTCTCATGCGATAGTCACTCAAGGTGTCGCCATGCGGGACTTGATCATAGCCAGCTCAGAACTCTTTGCCCACGCGCCGTCGGGCGTTTGACGATAGCAGAGTAACCGGCCGTCGTCACCGGTGCTTCCAAGGATCTGGCCGTCGTCATCGAATCCGACGCGCCACACGGGGGTTCGGTGGTTGTCAAGCCGCGAGATCTCGTGAAATGTATGTTTGACCTGGCCAGGTTGACCAGCCCAATGTCGGTCACCTGGGGTACCTGATTTGGCGAGGCTAGCGCTGAGGCCAGATTGGTGGTGCTGGTGATGTTGCTGCTGGTGCTGCTGTTGTTGCTGCTGATGGTGTTGAGGTGGCAATTGGGGGGTCTGGGGCTGCGATTTGTCGGCGGAAGGGGTACCACCGTTGGTGTTGTCTCTGGAAGTGAAGTGTGGACTTGACTTCAGGAGGTCGGTGGCAGACCACGACTTGCCGTCATCCTCTGAAAAGGGTGTCTCGACCCGGAATACGCGGGCGTAGCCATCTTGGCACGCAGTCGCAACGATGTCGTAACCCCTGATATTCCCAGGCGCCCAAGCCACATCCCGGACCAGGCCGCGGTGGCCGGGTATCTCGACAGCGAGGTAAAACTCCTTCTGGGTCTGTTGAACACCCATTGAAGTGGCAAGAACATCGCGCGACCGGTAGACCTTCACGGTGTTCATCGCGGCAACCACAAGGCCAAGGGAGTCGGTTGGGACACCGGCGCGCAGAGCTGTGTAACACGGCTCAGGGTTAGGATCGAAGCGGACGCGGAAAGCAAGCTCCTCGCCTCGGCTGGGCTTGGGACCGACACTGAACTCGTCGATAGAGGCATATTCAGACAGGTTCTCGGGCTGGTCGTTCTCGTAGATGGTCAGTCGGCCGTCGGTCGCGAGCAGAGCGAGATATGTGTGGCGGGTCTCCTCGTTGTGCTTCATAGAAAAAGAGCGGTAGGGAGCCTTGTTAGACCGGGTATCGAAGGCAGGCTTGCCGTTGCCAGCGCGGCCGGTACAGAAGCGGCGGCCGGGAGCAGCAGAGGGATCCTCGGCCCAGAGGCGAAACCAGCCCTCGATGCCGAGCGAGGCGATGAGGTTGGGGTAGACGGTGGACGGGAGCCATTGAAGCTGGTGGACAAAGTCAGTGACGTGCGTATGTGCGACGCGGATGACACAGAGCGAGAGACATGAACGGCAGACAAGGGTATATCTGGGCAATGAAAGAGGCGGCGGCGCCAGGGTTGCGATTGCATTTGCATGGATTACCTCTAGAATCTCGCCGCCGTGCGCGGTCCAGGTATCGCACAGGCGCCATGTGCCGTCCTTGTGGCGGTTGAAGACGCGGATCTTGCCATCGACGGAGCCGGTGGCGCAGCGGTCGCCGTAGGTGTTGAAGGAGACGGACTGGACGAGGTCCTTGTGGCCGTGCTGGAAGTTGAGGTCGAAGGCGGATTTGTCGTCGTTGGGGGAGGGAGGAACAGAGGCGGCCATTGTCGGGGCGACGACAGATGGCGGGCGAGTCGGTAACGGGGCGAATGCGGGGAGACTAAGTAGAGCAGGCGGTGTTGGTGGTGGTGGTGTGTGGTGTGTGGTGGTTGCTTGTTGTGGTGAGCAAGCAAGGTACTAAGGTAAGGGAGGAGTGAGATGGAGGGATGTACAAATGTCGTGGAGGTGGTGGTGATGGCTCCGACTGCGGGTGGTGGCATGTTGTTGTGGAGGACGAGCTCCACTGGGCTGCGGGTCAAGCTCGTCACGTAACCCTGTCGGTGCAGACGGGATGCCAGATGCCAGATGCTGATTAGATGCTAGATGTCCCCCGCAAATCTGCCGCCGCGGGTTGAGTCTGCGGGAGCAGGGCTTTTTTTGATTGCTTTTGTGACATCCGAAACTGCGGTGGTTTGGCCCGAGTTGACAAGTTCGATTTTCACTATGGGAACTTGATATCGACGGCGGTGATGTCAATGTGCATGACATTGGATGGCCGCTCATGTACGTGTACGTCATCCTGGCATATGCCCACTAGAAACCGGCCACTTTGAGTCAATCGATTTACACTACTACTCTCAAGATGCGAAGTTGAAAAGGTGAAATCAAATGCTCAACATTTCGAAATATTTGCCACGAGCATATCAACAATGAAGCCTATACTCTGGTTTTATTTGGCGTGTGAGCCCAGGATGTTCCCTTTCACAGTTTCATGATCGGCAATCCTACCTCTATGTCAGGTGTTAGATCTTACCGAGCATTAAGGGAAAAGCAGATATCAATATCACACCAGCGCGTGCTCATGACTTCTTGTAAGCGCACGTAAGGTAGGGTGGTATGTTTTCCATGTGAATATCAACCTGTCCAACCACACAGGTCGACATGGTGACAAACTCGGCCATATATGTACTTGCACTCCGCGATCCTCTCTGTTCGGTGCAAAGGCAAAGTGAACCTAATTGCTGTCCAAGTAACTTTATAGGAAGATGCCGCAGTCAAAACTAAGTTAGATAATCGATATAGACTCTTCCCCATACAGTCGTGTCTCAGATGTAAGTCTGTAGCTACTACAAGTGCCTAAAGTGTCGTGAGGTGCATGGAGGGGCAGGGTCATTAGTGGCTCCCCCCCTGCCCAACTGCCACAACGCCAAAGCTCTCAGCCTTGCAAAACTTCGCGACCTGGTGAGGTGAGCACTCAAAACAATCACAAACCTCGTCGCGACACCTTGCTCACCGCGGTCCACCACAAACATGTCGCATCTCATCAACCCGCTGGCGACAGCCTTGCAGCTGTACCATCGATCCTCCTTCTCCAGTCTGCCCCAGGACCTCCAGGACGCCATCTTCATCGCTTCCCAATGCCTCACCCAAGCCGCCGGCCTCCTCCTCGAGCTCCCCCAGTCCGTGACTGCGCAGGCAAACGTCATTCTGGCGCGATACTGGCTTATCGATTCTCCAATGGCCAACGAGTTTAGTGTGATTCCGCCTTTCTTGCTCACCCCTCATTTCGATACTGACAATCCGCAGGACACCTCCGCTGCTGCCCTCTACCTCGTGTCCAAAATGGGATCACAGCCTCGCTCTACCCGCGATGTGTCAACCGTCTACGCCTACCTGCTGTCCGAGAATTCCTCGTTTCCGCTCCCCCGAGATGCGCCCAGCAATGTGCCCAAGTCGTACTGCGTGTCAGAAGCCGACTACTTCAGCTTCCAAAGTCGGCTCCTCGCTATCGAAGCCCGCATCCTTTACACCCTCTCTTTCGACACCCATGTCTCCCTCCCCCATCCCCTCGCAATCACATACCTCCAGACACTAGACTTCCTCGCCCAACCCAAGTCTACAATCTCTCTCCGAACCATCCAGTATCTCAACACGGCGTTGCTGTCGCCGCAGATGCTGTTTCTCACCCATCAACCGCACGCGCTGGCGACGGCCGCCATTTACAATGCTGCGCGAGATGCCGGCGCCAAGATGCCGGAATGCGAGTGGTGGGAGGTATTTGACGTCGACAGGGAAGAGCTGGGCTTCTTGGTAGTTGCCATGCGGAGTGTCGAAAGCTGCATGCGCAAACAAAAGGACGACACGCCTCACCTCGCCCGATGGATGCTGACCCGGGCGGCCGTGGAGCGTGAGATGCAGAAGAGGGGTCTAAGTGCGGGAAATGGCACCACAGACGTTGACGAAGAACAGCAAATCATGAGCATGATGGACACTAGGTAGGTAGCTAGTTGTCCCTTCGCTTCGTATGGCCTACGGGCTTCCAGTCTGAAATGGTGGATGCCATTTTCATATTCGGCAACGAATTCGGTGCTACACACTGGATGCGGATGTTCACTCTTTTTGTCCGAAATCTTTTGCTCTTTCAGGCAAAAAGAATGAACAGAGTGGGACTCGAACCCACGCTTCTTTCGAAACTGCGAATCGTACATGTGCTTGATAACACCTGAACACAGCGCCATAACCGCTCGGCCATCTGTCCTAGCTTGATTTGATGTTAGAGGAGGGCACTATCTCACTAATACTTTGCACGACGGAAATTCTATCGACTGTCATTGGCATCTACGACCGTTGAACCAGAGCCCCTGAAGCTTCTTGAGCAACTATCAGATGCTCATCGCCGGCATGGGAATTTTGCATTCGCTAATGTAGGTGCCAAATGGAATTGCATAATCAGGCTTTTCTAACCACACCATCTGTGGAAGTCCACGCCACTGTTTTTCATGCCAGCCAAGATAGCGTTGATGACCTGATGCTCCATGTCGTCTTTGAGTATCTACAAGCTTGACTCGAGGAGCATCAGGCCATATCCCACGGAGACAAGACGACCGAAGGGGTAGTATCGACCATTTGGATACCGAGCAGATGGAAGCCACTGCCGCCAAGACATGATAGGGAACAAGGGTGGAAGCCAATGTGAGGATCAGCACAGAATGTCGCAAGACGTCGCGTGCTGCCAACGAAGCCTTTTCAAGCGAGATGCTTGACATACTTCGAACACTACATACGCCATGCAGCTGCACAACCTGGCCGGGTTTCCGCTGACCGCGTATGAGTCTCGATTTGATTTGGGTGGTCCAGAGTGCAGAACAGCACTCAGTTGTTCTGTACCGGACAGTAGGCAGCGGCAAGCCGGCGGCTGGCGCGAGAACGCCAAAGCCTCGACATTTTTCACTTTTCGTTGGGTGGCCATGTGATGCTTTCTGCATAACCCCCCCGCGCTGCAGTGCACTGGCCGGCCCGGGAGGACGTGGTTGGCGATGTCAGACGGGGCTCTGTCGCGATCCATTGAAAAAGCCTCATGACCGTGCTCTAATCTAATGTTGTCAAGACCCTGTGTGCCGCCGGGCAATCCTCAGGGACATGCGGTGAGGATGAGCAAGGGGACTTCTTCAGCACAAACCAATCATCCTTGCATCCATCGTGGAGCTTAAGTGCGGGGGATGGATAACTAGCGGATTGGCTCTCCACGATGCTCTGTTGGGAAGCCGGTCTTCGCTCAACGTCATCAGCATCGTGAAACCCGTGGACGAGGCATTAGCTGTCTAGTGCCATTCTGCAGCCGCGTCTAGTCTCACACCAACCGCCCATCTTGTTGAAGGCAGGGCGAGGAGATCACCACCACTCACTACCTAACCAACCCAGTAAGCATACCTCAACGAGGAAGGACTTGACACCGAGGAAGCCTTTCATTGGAACCAACCTTGGTCTCTATTTCCACCATATCTGCCTAGACTGGCATGGACTTGGACAAACAACATCCGAGGCTGCACGGGAAGTGCGATGTTAGTCCATGTCGTGGCGTGGATCAGCAACTACACCGTGATCATCTGTATCCCTACATGACACTTCATCGTCAACTTCGGTACCTTGGGACCTAAAAGTGGGAGACATTCGGGCAAGGCGGATCGTGAGACATGCTCCGTGCCACGCCCAATCGCCAATCGCAGACACTTCCAAGTAATCCCCGTTGCGCGAGAGCGACGGGGGTTCGGCTTCGCGGGCCTTCTCCTTGGCTGGGCGGCGATGGATCGGCGGCGGACATTGGCTGGGAAGAAGGGCTCTCCGTCGGCGTCTTCTAGAAGGCGTGCCGACCCACACCGCCCTGCAGGTTGCAATTCCGTGCCAGCCGCGCCAGATTGGACGTCTCCGGTCGACGGTGATTGGCTATGGCGGCCGGCGTCTAGGTTTGTGGCATGTCCCGCGATCCGTGGGGACGGAGCTCGGTGCCGCTGTGGTGCTCGAGGAGGCTTCAGATCGTGGGGCGGGCTGAAGGCGCGCAGTCGAGAAAATGGCTCACTCCTTTAGCCTCGCGGTGAGGACCAGAGGGGGCTCCGGGGAGTCCATGAGGCGGGAAACGTTGAGATACGTATCCTGTGTTGTCGAGGTATATTAAGGGACCTCGTCCCTTCCCATGGTTCTTCTCCAATCCCATCCTTCAACTCATTCCGTCTCCCTGTGTTATCGACTGTCTACTCCCTCCGTCACTTACACCATACCACACCACAACACACCACAACCACAACCATCCACCACTCTCTTCATCATGCCTGAGACCACTGCTCCCGCCGTCCCTTCCAACCTGGGCGAGAACCGGGGTATCCGCTTCCAGATCAAGACTGGCAGCGCCCGATACACCTGTACCCTTCAGGACCGCAGTGCTTAGTGAGTCCAGCCCCGTTGCATCCCATGTTGGGCCTGTCACTGACCGATATCCCCAGCGAGCGAGCCAAGGCCACCCGCCAGAACTCGACCGACTCCGTCGCCTCCAACACTTCTACCAGCAGCTCCTCCTCTCATTAAAGCTGTTCACTATGCTTGAGACGCAGTGGAAGCAACGAAGCTAGTAGGAAGGGGAGGCAGCGTTGACGACTTCTACGTGTCAACCTCTCTCCAACACGAATTAGGACAATAACGACTGGCAAGGGCACGACTAAAAGGCGAACTCTTTGATTAGCCCAGGAGCAGGATTGGGTTGGGATCATGGGAGTTATTATTTACATCAGCGACGGGTTTACACGGGGCAATGGCGTCCCCCATAATTGAATTACCCTATTGACGTTCATAACACGTCCACACTATCATTGTTCACAGCTCCCAGCCATACACGTGAACTTGCTAAACTCAACTTTGACACGATATCCGGTCTCCTGGAGGCAACAGGATAAAAAGCCAAGGTAAGGGTTCATGATGACCCACTCTCACCCTGTCGAACCGAACTGTAGGACCCCGATCGCCACTCCGGCGACTCCACTCCAGGAAGACTCAAGCAACCAAGTGATTGTGCCAAGGGACCTGGAACGAACGCAATGGCCAACTGAAACCTCACAGCCGCCCTTCGGTATTCGTGCTCGCGGGTCATAATTGAGCCGTCGAGCGATCTCGCGCCTGGTGCGAACGCCGAAGTCTCCGATGTGGACCGCTGGTTTCGCGGTGGCGACTGGCGGAGCGAAAGCAGCGGGAGGGCCTCATTCACAGCGCAATCGGCGGCCAGGCTGAGCAATCAAGAAGACTGACGCCCTCTGTCATTCAGGCGCAAAGCGGGCCGGCGAAGTGTATTGTATCAATAGGGCGGGCTGTTTTCACGGATGGGCTTGTGGGCTGGATACGCTGAAGGACTACGTCAGTGGCACAGGACACTTTCACGGACGGAAGCGCTGCTGACCTTACACTTATGGACTTTGGTAGTGTTGGTAGTCTAACTAGAGGGCTAACACGGAAATGCGCAACCGACTGTTTTGAATGCGTACGCACTGCGTAACAAGGCGTCATGTTGGGGTTGGTCAGGCAGACTTGGTTTCCAGTTTGTACTGTACTGGGCCAACCCGGGCAGGCTGACTCGAGCAACAAAGCCTGATCTGTGCGCCTTCATTTGGGACGAGTCGTGACGGGGGAATTGCCTGAGAAATGCACCACAACAGCGATATTTGGATTGTCGAGGCGCTTTCCATGGTGGAATCGAGTCGAGGATGGCAGACGATGAAGACGGTTGGTTTGGCAGCTAGATAGGCATTCGCTTGAACTGGGTAGAAACGGATGCGAGCCTTAAAATGAGACATGACGTCTCGGAAGCCATAAAACCTACACACTCGAGTGGTGATAATCGGATAGAGGATGGCTGGTAGAAAGCCGAGCTTGTTACCTGAACCTGGACCTTGTTGTGTTGGTACCGCCCGGATGGTGATGGAGATAGTGTGACATGCGTACGTCACGCGCGAGCCAGATGCGGTGGGCCACAGGTGGAAAGGGATCCAGTACTTTGCGGCTACAGCACTTTTGGTAGCATTCTGTGGTAGCTTTTCGACTCCCGCGTTCTCGGTGGTTATCAAGAGCTGGCACAGCCCAGCAATCCATCCAGGCCCAGCCCGAGTACGGCTGAACAAGGTGCAAGGTCAGCAGGGGATCGAGGGAGGAGTGTTTCTCGAGGGAAGGGCCGGAGGCTCGGTTCCTCTTCCTGTTTTTATTCTTCTTCATCTTTTCATCCCTCGCCATCGCTACCCCCATCGGTCAAGTCCTCTGGTGCTTCACCATTAGACGGAACACTGTCGCTCACTTTCTGGCACTCGCTCCTCCGTGTCTCGCCCGCCCTCCTTGTCAAGTTGTCGAGACTCGAAATCCCCCCCGCGTTCAAGCCACGCGCGACGAGATGCCTCATCCATTGGTGGCCACAGGTACGTAACGATACGGTAAAGGACGCTGCTCATCGCACATGTTTTCTGTCTCGCTGCCCCCCTGGTTTTGGGCGTTTCTGGCGTTGGACCGTTCTTGTCGTGGTCGTGCGGATGGGAGTCGTCGTCACCTCGATGGTTCGTGTACTCGGTACATCCATCCGAGACCCCGCGCCCAGATTGGCCGTCAATCAGCCCAGTTGGAGGAGCCTCCAGCTGGGAGCTTGCGCATCACTGCCCCATTGCCCCCGTGCTTCTTACTGCCCTGTGCCCCTACGATGCTAGTGCACGGTACCTTGTACCTTGGGATTGTCTGCCTGTCTGCCTGGAGTGGTCTGCTGTTGCGCGCCCGTGCCTGAGACTCCATCTCCAGGCTCTCATACTCACAGGACCACCAGCCAGGGCCTCACTCATCAACCACTCACCACTCTTCCACCCCTCATCCGCCACTCACCCGCCACAACCCTCCGCTTGCTTCTGTCTGGTGGCGAATCTAACCGCCGGAGGACTACGCAATCCAATCTCCCGCTTCGCCGCCTTGCTCTTTCTATATTGCTGCCTTCACCTTTGACCTGTGTCGGTGCGACTTCTTCTCTAGCATCGCACTCGACCTAGACATTGTCTTTGCTCACTCTTTTCTGCTCAAGCTGTTTGAGCTTCGTCCTTCCCACCCCACTTCCTCTGCGAGTAGCTTGACTCTGTCTTTCGCATTTGCCTTCGCTCTCCATCTTCGTCCTCCTGGACAGCTCACCAGTCAAGAGATGCCTAACCATGTTGTCCTTGCCTCAGGCGCCGTAGTAGCCGTTACCGTCGC